TATGTCATGATAAACGTGGGGTTATTTTAGATTTTCACTGTTCTTTCCTGAATATCATTTGCATGATAAATGCCTAGATTATGAAATTTCATTTCAGTGACTGGCTTGTTAAATGTGAAGAGTAATTAGACGCTGAGAAATGTGTGCAGACTTTTTTCATTTCAGTTTTATTGGTCTTTATTATGGGCAGTAAATGCATGTTCAGGGAGGAAAGACAGCTATAACTTTATGTGGAGGCATGATGTTAAATAACTATAAAAAGTCACAGTAACAAACAAGAAATCATAGGTAAGTGCAGCATTTTCAGCGGAAAGGTCTAGAGTCAAATATTCTTAAACTCGTTTATAATTGGGGGGGAGCAATCACTCTGTGTGTTCAGACCCAGAAACCTTCCCCCTAAATAAATTCACACTTGACTCAAAATTTTGGTTTGGCTTTTTGCAGATTTTAGGCCACAACTTTATTGACTACAGAAAGTGACTGGTTGCATAGGCTCGGGTTCAACTAGCTCCCCGCACTGTTGCAGGTAGCGCTGACCCAGGGCACCAGCATAGGTCAGCCAAGGGTGAACACCTGGATAAGCGGAAAGCTGGGAACAGGCTAACTCTGCCACCCAAATGTCCCCCTGGACTCTGGCACGGGCACAACCCCCTCTCAGGGGTTGACCAAACCATCAAGTCCCTGGATTCCTTTAATGGAATACCCTTCACATAGGAATGGTGACAGTGTTCTCCCATCCCTATCACCTGAACCAGAACCTATCCGCAACCTTACAAGTTGTGACGATTTTCTACGCAGCAGGCAAAACCCAAATGGCAACGGCCAATCAGCCAAGTGGGGAAAATTCCTGCTGTGCCCCTGTCCCAACGACAGACGACACATGACGGCATAGCAAGGTCAAGCGCAAAGCCCTAAAGCTGGGAACGGTTGGCGGGTGTTCTGAATGGACGCGCCGAAAGAGGAAGCTCTGGGTCAAGTGCATGGGCATACATAGGTCCCTCAAACCGTTTGGACTACGTCCCATTGGCCAGATTGCACCCAGCTTCAAGGGATCTACCAATCGGGTGTTGTGGCTGACCAATCATACCCACCCACAACACAGGGTGTCGGTTTTCCAGGTCTCACCGCAATACATGCCCTCTTTAAGGGAGGACCCGATTTATCATAACGGCTGTGTCAAGCTTCAGATATGAAGTCTGGTTTTGCACCGCCCTCCTCCATTATGGTTTCCTTGTAAACATTTCTTTTTTACTGCAATTTTTCATGTTTACTTTCCTGACTGTAGAAGATGTGCAAGTAGGTGTCATGCATAGCACTTTGAAAGACAAAAAAGGGGGGGGCTCTTTCAAAAGATTTTAATGCACTTTTTTTTGGAATGAAATCTCTTGTACAAGACACCTGTCATTGGCTTCATTATCATTAAATCACCTACGCAGAATCTGGAGGGAATACCATATCTTTAGTGTGATTGCTGGGGGAAAAATGAGCATTCTATTAGCAGTGCATTAGCTCCTGGGAGTTCCAAACACTTAGGGAAGGAAGTTGGTTTTTAACTGCAAAATATCTCTGTTACTCTGAAATATCATCAGTGCCGGATTTATGTATAAGCTAAACAAGCTATAGCTTAGGGCCTCACTCTCTTGAGGGCCTCCAAAAAATGTAAAGAAAAAAACACACTGGATGTAGATTTCTAAAATATAAGATGAAAAACAAATAAAATAAATCCTATATACAGTTAGAGCTTAATAATTATTTCACTGTTAATATACTTCTTCTTAATTGTATTTCAGTTCAACAATTACTTTGATAAAATACATATTTAGTTCCGTGCAAATGGCTCTAGATACCTGTCAGGTCCATGAATTACCATATAGCATATATGCAACACAAAAAACAGTGACAATTTGTTGTTGACAAAGGACAGCTGGACATACAAAGGACCCCATTACCTTTAGTAGCTTAGGGCCTCATCAAACCTAAATCCGGCCCAAATGCAAGGCTTTATCCTGAACCACACCAATAGTAATAACTCAGAAACACAGTATAAGAGACTAAAGACTTTATTGCAAGCTGAGCAGAGCCTATTCTGGCTTCTTCACAGACCATACTGGGGGTCAAACTAACTGACGCATGAAGAATATAATTTCATTTCATATATCTATTAAATATTTCTTTTAAAAAAACAACAGCGGGACTATGTTGTGTGGAGAGGAACTGCTACCTTTTCTCCTTGAAATATCTCCTGCTGAACAGTCCCTTCTAGGGAGAAGCTTCCATCCCTTTTCTTTCACCAGGACCACAGTGTAGAACAGGTTAAACTGCTTTTCCACACCATAATCCCGAACCCGCTATGATTGCTTTTAAAAAAAGAAAAAACAAAAGAAAACCAACAAAAACAGGTATTTGAAATGCAATCATAAATGTCATGTATTCTTTAAAGGTAAAGGTAAAGGGACCCCTGACCATTAGGTCCAGTCGTGACCGAGTCTGGAGTTGTGGCGCTCATCTCGCTTTATTGGCCGAGGGAGCCGGCGTACAGCTTCTGGGTCATGTGGCCAGCATGACTAAGCCACTCCTGGCGAACGAGAGTAGCACACAAAAACGCCGTTTACCTTCCCACTGGAGCGGTACCTATTTATCTACTTGCACTTTGACGTGCTTTCGAACTGCTAGGTTGGCAGGAGCATGTATTCTTTAGTTGGACCCTAAAACTATCAACAGCAATGGAAAGTGAAACGGGACTAAAGTAATTATTTTGCCCCGAAACTACTGTCTTAGAATCCCTATACACACCTGCAGAATCATTAAATTTCCAATCATCCCAAGAGATCCCTTCTCCATATGCCACTTGCTTCACACCCCATTTGCTGATTCCCAAAAACCCCAGTCTAGTTCATACAACATTCAGGTTGCTTTCTTCCTACAGCTTACAATTCCACATAATCAGAACCACCAAAGAACATTTACACTGTTCAGACAAACAGCAAATGAACTGGCAAATCTCTGTCAGGGCTCTAGTGAATTCAGATTGCAGGTGGGAGATGTTTCAGCATGCAGACATTCTCGAGGGAGCCATTTCTCATGCTGTTGGTGAGAAACAAATATAGCATTCCTTCCTGTTTGTGGTCCTGCAGTCTCTTTGCCCTTCTGTCTTCCTAATGAAGAATTCCTTGCTTCTTCTCTGTTTTCAAAAATCTATTTCATGCACACCTATGCATGAAATTGAAGCATTGTTGACAACCACAATTGCCAACTTTTGAGGGGCGGTGGAATCTTAAGTCTGTTTTTGCCAAGGCACAAATGAGAGTCTTAAATATACATAAGAACGTAAGAGCATACTGTCTCAGGCCAATGGCCAGTCTAGGCCAACGCTGGTGAACCAACCAGATGCTCTATATGTTCTGCTGTGAAGACAGATGAAAAAGAAAATTCATTCCAGCTTCTCTGCAATGTCCTTATCCTCTTTTAGCACTCCTCCAACTCCCTTGTTATCCAAAGAACCAACTGCCTCTGTAGCCTGTCTCCTGCTACTAGTGTATTCTAAATTTAGTGGTGGTCATTGTTATGTGTTACGTTCCTAATGACCCACTGCCAGTATCCCTCCACCTCCAGAGAAGTATCCTCAGAATGAGGGGATAGCTGCTCATCCTCCAAGGAATGGGTCCCTTCTGGGGCACCATGTTTCTCTTCCTCAGAGTGATGTCATCTTTCCACAAGACCCCTATATTGGGAAAAGGGACACGGGTGGCACTGTGGTCTAAACCACTGAGCCTCTTGGGCTTGCCAATCGGAAGGTCAGTGGTTCAAATGCCCATTGCTCTGTCCCAGCTCCTGCCAACCTAGCAGTTCGAAAGCACACCAGTGCAAGTAGATAAATAGGTACTGCTGTGGCAGGAAGGTAAATGGTGCTTCTGTGCACTCTGGTTTCCGTCATGGTGTTCCATTGCAGCAGAAGCGGTTTAGTCATGCTGGCCACATGACCCAGAAAGCTGTCTGTGAACAAACGGTGACTCCATCAGCCTGAAAGAGATATGAGTGCCACAACCCCATAGTCACCTTTGACTGAACCGTCCAGGGATCATTTACCGTTTACCTATTATCTTGGGAGTGGGACATAGCTATAGCCTCCCTGAAGGCTCATCCACCAACTTTTCTGCCTCTCTCAAATGGTCTAGGTAAGCAAACATGGCCACAAGGGAACAAACTCATTCCTGGAGAATCAGAAGGTCATTGCACTGAGGAACCACCCACAACTTCTGTCCAACAGGCAGGTAGTCGTAAATGTGACAGATAGCTCAAGCCACTGGAAAGCCTTTACAGTGGTACCTCTGGTTAAGAACTTAATTCGTTTCGGAGGTCTGTTCTTAACCTGAAACTGTTCTTAACCTGAAGCACCACTTTAGCTAATGGGGCCTCCCACTGCTGCCGTGCCGCCGCTGCGCGATTTCTGTTCTCATCCTGAAGCAAAGTTCTTAACCCGAGGTACTATTTCTGGGTTAGAGGAGTCTGTAACCTGAAGTGTCTGTAACCTGAAGTGTATGTAACCCAAGGTACCACTGTATACCCCTGCTTGCTTTCTACTGTTTTTGTAGTTTATTGATCGTGAAGCTGAGGCTCCAATACTTTGGCCACCTCATGAGAAGAGAAGACTCCCTGGAAAAGACCCTGATGCTGAGAAAGATGGAGGGCACAAGGAGAAGGAGATGACAGAGGACGAGATGGTTGGACAGTGTTCTCGAAGCTACCAGCATGAGTTTGACCAAACTGCGGGAGGCAGTGGAAGACAGGAGTGCC